AATTTTTCGAGGCTAGGTATAGAACTAGATTCATGACAAAAACCTTTCAGACTTCCTGTTGTAAAATATCAAATTAACCAAAGTTTAGTTCAGCTCTAGGAGACAACCTCCACTCCGAACTCAGTTTAACTCAAAAAACAAAAAAAAAACAAAAAAACAAAAAAAAAAAAAAAAAACAAAAAAAAAAAACAAAAAACAAAAAAACAAAAAAAAAAAAAAAATTCACATAAATGAATTATATGAATTACGAATTGCAATAGTGAAGGTTAATGGTTCAAATAAACACATATTTCGAAAGTCGGAGCAAACTGCGGGGGAGGGAAAACCTTGAAATTGCTAGGGTTTTACTTTTCGCATATAGGTGAAGCATACCACTGTTTTAGGGTTCCCGGGCCCGAAAATTTTCGAGAAATCTACCTGCTGAAATCACAGCAGCTTAGCGAGCTCAGATGCCGAAAATCGCACGCATAACAACTATAGATTTTAAAATCGACCAGTGAGAAAAAGCTGAAAATCTGAAATCTCTCACATCTCCTCGGACGAATTGAATTGTGCGCAGAGATCAGGCTCGCAAACACTTCGATTCCCGACTCATTTTCTCCTCTTCTCCCTTCGCTCTTGAGCTCAGTTCGATGCTCTTCCTTCTCTTTATCCTATCTCCACACTGAGCTACTATCGAGTACCGAGGAGACCGAGGTAGTGTGAGCCGGCGAGGGCAGGACGGTTGCCGGTGGATTCAGTCCGTCGACGGCGCAGGGTTTGACGGTGTAGATAGTAGGGAATCTAGAGGGCCGGGGGCTTGGCTAGGGCCCCGTACGACTGTAAATATACCATGATTGAATGTGGGGCCGGGATGGTCGAGTGGACCCCATTTGATGGATTACGGTTTCTGATTGAAGTGCACTATCCATTGTATCTCTTCTTCTATTTTTTTTTTTTAAATGTAAATTATAAATATAAATAAAAATTGAAATATCTTTTATTGCGATATTGCTTTCTAAAATTAGAAAAATAAAAAGGGACTTTCTTCCAAAAAGATGACCCGAAAACTGACAAAAATATTTTATTTCCTTTTTTGGCAATAAAAATTGGAGAAAATATCTACAAATGTATAAAGTTTATATATGAAAATTAAAATAAATTATTCTAAAAAAAGTTATAAATAGTGTAAATAGACTATTATTAATCAAAACAGATAAAATGGGTGAAACTTCATATTTAACTTATGAGAATTTATAGTTAATACTTAATATCATTGATAGATATTATAATAAGTACACAAAAATATATCATGATGACTCTTTAAATAACACATAACTATCTGGTTATTAAATATTATTAGTAGTCATCTTTATGCGCAATACGTGCAGGTTTGAACCTAATATTAAAAATCATAATTTAAATGTATCAAATACAAAATATGTATCAATAAAAACAATTTAAAATGTTTTTTTTTTTTTAGGGATTGAAAATGTTATTTTTTAATCATCATACTTATTATTATTATTATTATTATTATTATTATTATTATTATTATTATTATTATTATTATTATACATGTAAAAGTCACATGTTTTAGGGAAAAAAAAATAAAAAGAGATATTATTTGATGGATATGAAATTAATTATTACCATATTAGTTGTGTTTTATAATGGAAAAATGAAGCAATTTAAATATGTCAGCCAATAATTCCAGGATCAAATTAATTAAATGACTAATGAATATAGTTTTTTTTTTTTTTTAAAAAAAACCATAGTATGATTAAATAGATTGTTGTAATATTACCTTTAATAAATGTTCCTTAAATAGTTTTAACCTAATGGTGTTATAACAAATTTGAAGCTATTTTGTCTTGATAAAATGCATGTATAATATTTTAAACTTAATGTAAAATTATTAGCCTTTAAAATACGCACAAAAATCAAAGATATAACATGAATTTACACATATAATGTTATTGGTTTTATATATAGTGTTTATAAAACTTGAGTACAATTATCGTTACACAAATTACATACTAAGAATATAAATGGCTAGAGTCTCGAATTTCATATAGGAAACAACTACTTATATATAAACTTATTGTGAAATTCTAATAATATCAGTTTTAGCCTAAAATCAATGAGTTAGTTTGATAAAGTTAAAAAAAAAAAAAAAATGTAAAGGTTATAGCAAAAAATCAAATTTGCACGAAGCTGACAAACTCAATAGCCTAAGTGAGTTGGCTTGCTAGCCTGACCGTTAAAATAATAAAAGTTAATTTTAGTTTCATAAGTGATATGGAATGAAATATACGTATAACTTTGTACGTAAATTCATTAATAGTTTTTTATTCCTTAAAAAATTTAGTAAATTTTTAATAAATATATTAAAATTTTATTACAAAGAAAATTATTTATATGAAATAAATAATGAAAAATGTATTATAATTATTATATTATAAGTATAGCTAAATTAATTAGTATTATTATTTGTTAATTTTTTAAATAAATAAACTAAATTTATTCATATATTTTATACAAATGCATTTACATCATATTTTTGAGTTTTGTTGAGTACTATCAACTCTATCACATCATGTCTTTGAGTTAGAATTTAAAATTTGAGATATATATTGATTAAATGTATGCTCTAAATTTATATTTATAATTAAATGTGCTGATTTGTTAAAAATGAAAGTTAAAAATACTCCGTATTAATTTAAAATTGTCAACATTTTGTACCGAAACCAGCAGATAAGTCTAATTGCCCAACACGGGGGAGGGTTGGTTCAAGTTATGCAATTTTTCTCGAGAATATAACATAATATCCACATAAGATTTTTTGCTATTGTAAAAGAATGTGAGATACTTTTATATTTCTGGTAGGGAATACCCCGACCGACATACTGTTACCCCGACCCCAGTGCCTTCGTCCTTTTCTTCTTGACTTTGCAGGTTACAGGTCGGGTCACTTGTGAAGAACCCGGTCGGTTGCCGACCGGGTAATGCCCGATTGGCGTTGCCGACCACCGAGTGGTAGCCCTTTAACGAGAGAGCTGGTGAGAAATACGTGGCGACTCTACGCGTTGACAGGTAGGGCACCCGGGAAGGCGACACGTGGTTGCTACGTGGGAGGCATGCCGGACGGCCGGATTTGTGTCTTCGCTCCGCGGCTATAAATACCCGCGATAGCGACAGTGTGGGGGGTTTTGGGACGATCGATAGGTTGTTGTTAGAGAATCCCGACCGCAGTCAGTCGGCATTCAGAGCAACCATTTAGATTGTACTTAGGGCCTTCACTGTGATCAATAAGAATTATTTAATTGCTTTAATTGATCTCGTGTTTATTTAATTACCGCTTTACGTGGCAATTAGTACTATCAATTTCCTTAAGTGTTCTCACATTCCTTTATCTTATTGCTAATTTTGTCATTTTCGCTCATGCAGTTATGTATAATATGCATGCCTAACGGAACGTTATGCTGTGAGCACAAGGTGGGCACGGTTCCATATCCATAATTTATATATTGTAGATTCATAATTTCTATACTATAGATTCATGATTTTTATACTGTAGATTTATAAAATTTATACTTTAGATTCATAATTTATAAACCGTAGATTCATAATTTAAATACAGTAGATTCATAATTTCTATACTGCAGATTCATAATATCTGTACTGTAGATTCATAATTTATGTACTGTAAATTCATAATTTCTAAACTGTATAGTTATCAAATTATGAACATATAATTATCTAATTTGTGAAAATAGAGTTCAATAATTAGAATCTAAAGTATACAAATTATGAATCTACAATATAGAAATTATGAATTTACAGTATAAATATTATAAATATGGAACCATACCCACCTTCTCATAGCATAATTTGCCATGCCTAACAATTTGGGTCTTTATATTTTCAGTTACTCTATGGGCCTATATACTCGGTATTATATTATTGGATTGGGCTTATTAAGTTATACTTGGACCTATTTTCAAAAAAAAAAAAAAATCAAAAAAAGTTATACTTGGACCTAATATTCAATTAATCATATTCTTAAAAAAAATAATTTATTCAATCGTTATGTTGTAGAACCGTGTCTATGTTTGTAATTAATGAACTATATATTCATAATTATAAAGTATATATTCATAATTTTGAACTTTATATTTATAATTATCGAATTATATATTCACAAAATGTAATATTACTCATATTAAAAATGGCTCAAGTGGTAGATCACCTTACCTTAAAATTACCACTCTGATGGCTGGGTGGGCTTCAATGCATCCCATTAGGATTCAAACTTGTGATATTCCATTTGGTGAAACTACAAGCTACACAGAATTCTATTTCTAATATATTTTCATTTGTATGACTTTTAAATTTTTTTTTTTTAATCCCATAGGTCATAGAGGGGTATCAAAATTTTAAAACAACAATTGCAATGGGATTGAATGTGATATCCTACCATTCCTACCTAAAGCCTAAAATCCAAGTGTCTAAATAAAGCTTCATAAATGTGACGCCATGATATCACGGATAATGAAAACTGTCAATTAAATAACAAAATAAATACATTAATTAACTCGAAAAAAATCATTTTTCAAATTTTATAGCGTTTGTCACACACACAAAAAAATAAAAAATAAAAAAACAAAATTATGACCAAAAGAAAAAAATGGTCTATTTTGGTGAAAAATGTAATTCGAAATTTTTACTCGGAAGGCAATTTTCAAAATTCTTCAGCTGGCTAAGGGTTCTTCTCGTCACCAAAAAAAAAAAAAAAAAAAAAAAAAGACGCATTAACACGCCAACTATTTGGTTATTATCACTCTCTTGGTTATTTTTATTATAACAAGTTATAAGTTAAAAATTATTTATTTTTATTTTTATATTATGCTTATTATTAATCTTTATAACTATTATACATTTTAATATAAATAATTTTTACATCATTAAAATAATGAATATTTTATAAAAATGAATTTATAATTAATTTATGTTCATGTTTTTAAAAATTAAAGAAACATACAAAATATATTTTTCTCACTTTCAACAAAACATTAAAAAAAATTATTTTCAAAATTTCAACCAAACATACAAGCTATTTTTTTTTTAAATAATCATTTTTAACAAATATTTTTCATACTTCCAAACACACCTTAGTTGAAAAATGTTAATAAGGAAAGGAAATTACTTTTAGGGTGTGTTTGGAAACTCGAAAAATGATAATGATTTCTGAAAATAATTTTCAGGTTCCCGTGTTTGGCTAGAGGGGAAAATGAAAGTCAATGAAAAATAGGGGTATGGTCAATGGAAAATATACAGGATTTTCTTGAAAATAACTTCCATGCTTTTTTTTTTTTTTTTGGGGGGGGGGGGGGGGGGGGGAGGGGGGGGTGCGGAGGGGAGTCTTTTTTCCGTTTGCAGCAGTGGAGCAGCCAATCACCCGCCGTCGTCGCCACCACCATCACCATCATTGTATATTTTAAATATTTTAAATTAAAAATAATTATGCTCATTTTCAAAAAAAATGAACCAAACACACCAAGATAGTTTTCTAAAATGCAACCAAACACTATAAAGAAAAATGACTTATTTTCCTACTTTCCAAACACACTCTTAAATGACGGTTTAATTAAGAGATAGAGGCAATGACTAAAAGACTTTACCAACTTCAATAGTTGAATTACCAAAAAGCCCTTCAAAATAGGCAATCGGATACAAATAACAAAGAAATCTTTGTCTCGAGGCTATCTAGCCGACAACCGGGTAGTTTTTTTTTTTCACTTAAAATTATTGAAATAAAAATAAAAAATATATTTTTTAAAAAATAAAATAAAATTTGATAAACACTACGTCAGCAATTAATATGTAAACAGATCACTTTTAATTTAATTGCATGATTTTATATTATTTAGAAATTTAATTACAATTTTTTTATGTTCGATAATCTAATTGTAATTCCGTGTGGAATAAAATTATTTATTGAGTTAATTCCAGCATTGGTCCTCTGACTATCGTGATTTTCCATAATTGGTCCTCGACTTTTAATTTGGACAATTTAGACACTTGACTATTAAAATGTTTCCAATGTTAGTCCTTCCGTCACAAGCTGGTTAAATGGACGTTAAATAGAGGGGTAAAGAAGTCTTTTTACCTGCTTAGAGTATAATCCGTCTTTATCCTCACATCATTCCTCTCGGCAAAGTTGCTCTTCATTCCGGCCGGCGAACAACGATTTATTCTGCTAATTCTTTCATTCCTCTCATCACCCTCCTTCGCAGCTTCTTCTCTTTCAATTAAGCCTATCCGCCCCCACTGCGGAGCTTCAACACACTCTGTTTGCGCCGCCGCCGTCATGGGGGAAACCATCACTGATGCTAAAATGGACGTTGTCCAACGCCACCTTATGTTTGACGACGAGTACCTTCTCTCCTTGTCCTTTTTCTTCTGTTTAATTATTGCTCCGAAGTCCGATGGGTTTTTGTTCTAATTTCTGTAAACCTCGTACATCACTGTGTTGTTGGATTGGAGTTGAATGTGCTGGGGGTTTTGGTTTTCATATTCCCTAAATATTTATTAAGTAATTACAAACAGTAGCTTTTAGGGATAGTAGTCGCAGAAACCTAGCACCTTAATTACATACTAGCAGAAGGCAAGATTAAACACCCAAATAAAAACTTCCAACAAATTATTACTGTCCATAGCAATTTAGCTTTACAGCTCCATTAAAATTGTTCATTGTTGTTTTGTTTGTTGTGGTTGGGCTTTTGAATTGAAGGAAGTGAATCATTGAGAGAGTATTGTCGGAGTTCGCAAAGTACTAAGATATGAAGCAACACTGCCTGAATTTCGGGTACCCATTCTAAATTTTTTCGAGCTGAGCTTCCTTCCAGTTCGACTTGCCACACTAAACCCTAGCTCCTCCTTCGATCTATATATCTTCATCGCCCAAATTTTCATTTCATACGAACCTCATTTTCTGGTGATTCCATTATCCTAAAAACTCGTAAAAATGCAAGCTTTTTTGTTGCCATTATAAGAAGTGATGTTTAATTAGCAAGAATATATTTATCGCGTATGGAGAGAAGGAGAACTAATGGTATTATATGCAGAGCATGTTAGAAGACGGTTTTACCCCTCCATTTAACATCTACTTAACCAGCTTGTGACGGAAGGACTAACATTGAAAATATTTTAATAGTCAAGTGTCTAAATTGTCCAAATTAAAAATCGAGAACCAATTATGAAAAATCACGCGGAGGATCAATGCTGGAATTAACTCATTATTTATTTGACGCTTATTCCTTGAATTTATGATATTTATCCCCTCCAATTCTCCAAAGCGCGTCAACGCCTCAACGGGATATTAACTTGTCAACCATACGCGCCTTTTTATCTCGACCCGGATAAGTACCTGTCAGTCGTCTGTCACTCTTTCGCCGGCGGAGATAATTTGGCAGAAGAATTCTATCAGATTTAGAGAGAGAAAGCGCGGAAGATGTACGGATTCGAGGCAGTGAGCAGTAGCGACGATGGAGGAGTGAAAGGTGATATAGAGGAGGGGACTTTGTATCCGGGGCTAGGGTACGGAGAGAATCAGCTGCGATGGGGTTTCATCCGCAAAGTCTACGGCATCCTCGCCGCTCAGATCCTCCTCACCACCGTCATCTCCGCAATCACCGTCCTCTACGCTCCTGTCAACGAGCTCCTCCGGAGCAATTCCGGCCTCCTTATCTTCCTAATTTTCCTCCCTTTCATCCGTAAGCTCCCTGCAAAACCATAACTGTTGTGTAAATATCTGCTTTGATCGAATTGTTTTTACTTGTAGCTCCGAGTATATTGAGATTTCTATTTGTGGTGCTAAACTAAACTGCTGATTTTTCACATTTAGTACTGGAATTTAGTCTACCCAGATCGGAGATTTTTCACATGCCTTTAGTCTTCTCTGAAAAATGTTTCTTCAGAGATTTTGCTTCTATCTCAAAGTGAAGGACCAAATTGGGTAGATTTTCATAAGTTGAGCATTAAATATGAAAAAGAAAAAGATAATCGAGCACCAATGAACCATGATGGAAATGACACTAATCACACTATAGTTGAATGATGAAAAGTGATGCGGCAATTTATTTGATTGAAGTTGGAAGCCCGTTTCTTGTATAAATATACATCATATAATTTTGGGTGAATTTTTTCATTTCTGAATTATACTTCATGTTTTACATTTGCCTATTTGTGGTTCTCCTTCTTGACCCGACCGAGTCAGTCGGATAGTTGGCTTTGTAACCACAAGGTCCCAAGTGTCCCAAGTTTGTGACCAAAAGGTCCCAAGTTCGATTCCCCATGAGAGTTGCCTATTGGCCTTCTCGATTTGATCTGGTTAATTATGGACAACTAGACTGGTTTACCTCCTTAGGGTCACAATGCCGGCTTCACCTGGAACTCACCATTGGGTAGCACCTGTGGGCTTTCCGTAAATCAAAGTTCTATTACAAATTTACAATTTTAGGAGAAGAGAGTCCTAGTTATCAGAGATTTTTCTCCTGGTGACCAATTTAAGGGTTAGTTATGAAATTTTATGAGCATCAGTTCTCTATGTGCCATATCAGATATGGTTGTCAAAATTTTATGAGCATCAGTTCTCTATGTGCCATATCAGATATGGTTGTCATATGTGAGCTTTATGCTGCATTAAAACATGCTAGTGAGTGTTCCATTATAGGCTTAAGAAATCATTTTAAGTTTATAATTCATTCTTAGATGTCTCCCCAACATGAATGTATATATAATGTTTCTGCTTTCCTTTATGTGTTTTAAATGGCTGTTATCAAATTGATTGATTTGCAAATGTGTTATGCACTACGTAGAGCCATTAGGTGCCACTCTCTAGTAAGTATTTTGCTCATTCTTTAATGTAGTTTGTAACTATCATTGAAACTGAAATTTGAGACCTAGTCCTGTAATGTTTCTTAGTACTTCTGATACAGTTGTAATACGTTCCGAATTATATCGTTATTGATCCCTGTCTTCACTCGTGGTGTATCTACATAATGCTCCCTCTATCAGAATATTATGGTATTCTCCTCATTTCCAGAAGCATATTTTCTATGTACTAATGAATTTAAGCCAATGCAGTCTTGTGGCCTTTGCATGTGTATCAGCAAAAGCATCCATTGAACTTCGTCTTCCTTGGACTTTTTACGGCTTCTCTGAGTTTTACCGTTGGCATGACCTGTGCTAACACAGATGGTAGGTTGCTTTTTCTTTTATATCGAAATGATCTGCATGAAGGGTGCCCGTCTTTAGTTGGAAGTGTTTTGACATTAAGGTGTTGGATAACACAGGTATGATTGTGCTCGAGGCTTTAATCTTGACATCAGCTGTAGTTTCAGCTTTAACTGGGTACACTTTCTGGGCTGCTAAGAAGGGCAAAGACTTCAGCTTCATGGGACCAATTCTGTTCACCAGCCTTTTCATACTCATCTTGACTGGCTTCATGCAGGTATTACTTCTCTTCTCCCCTTTTCTGCTTAATTCTGCTATGACATGCATCCAAAGCTTAAGATGACCAAAACACACCTACCTTGTATGATGGTGCAGGCGTTCTTCCCTCTTGGCTCTACATCATCTGCCATCTACAGTGCAATCGGTGCTATAATTTTCTGTGGATACATCGTGTATGACACAGACAACTTGATCAAGCGGTTTACGTATGATCAGTACATCTGGGCATCTGTCACTTTGTATCTGGATGTCCTCAACCTGTTCCTTACCATTCTGCGGATGCTTAGACAGGGAAACAACTGAGTTTGCAATGCCCTGATCTGTGTACCAAAATCCATCCCCTGAATAAATGCTTTACTTTTCATTACTAGTAAGACTGTTGTGTAGATATAAATCATAAATGTTTCCTACTCTCTCTACTCAAACACTAAAAATTCTATTGTGGAATGGAAATTGTTTTGCTCACCTGGTTTCTGTGTTTAGATTCTGGGAAAGACTAAAAGTTGTAAGCCAAATACTGACGATAAAGAAGGATGTGTGGAGAATACTAACAGGTTATAAAATAATGAATGCTAAAGACATGGATATTTCAGAATTCAGATATTGATTGCAAGTTATGTGACCACAATTTCAAGTTTCCAACCACTGCATTTCCAGTGAACATGATGGTTTACATAAACTGTATATATATATATATACACATTTTATTGTGAAATGAATAAGAGAATAATCACCATCACACATGGCAAAATAAACTTCTGCAGTTAAGTATAAATGGAGCACCTGCAATTATGTACCATCTGAAGTCCATGGAGACCCTGAAATCAAGGTTTAGAAGGCACATCATCATCATCGTCATCGATATCCCATGTCAGCTCTTCCTCTTCATTGCCAACATTAATGCGCTTATGCAGATCAGCTCTGATGGTATTTGCTTGTCCAGTTGCCTTGCTTTCACAAATGCTCTCCATATCTTCAATTGCATCCCACCCGAGGTCCTCTTCCTCACGCGAGGATTGTCGGCTAGAAACAACTGAAAAGTCACTGTTATCATTCTTTGCTTCTGAAGCTCCTTTGTCATCAGGTTTGAACCTCAACTTTTCCCCACTTGATTCAGCATCAGCTTCTGAATCCCCTTTCTCATCATGAGTTTTGGCCTCAGAAGCACTCACATTGGCGTCTTTTGCAGTTTCAGAATTCTTTTGCTTGTCTTCTTCAATGTGTAAACTGTCCACTCCATTTTCAGTCTCAGCAATCTCTTTTCTCAACACATCACACGATCCGTTGTTGTTGTTGTCGTTGTCATCTTCTACATCCCAGGTCAATTCCTCATCTTCTTCCCCAGAAATCACCCTCTTCACCAGTCTCACCCTAGCCTCCTCTGCTTTCTTCACCCGATGAATCTTATAGAAGTATCTGCTCCAAAATGTCTCTCTGTCAACCTTACTTGGCACAATCTCACTGTAAATTTCACCAATTACATTATTTTCCTCCACCAAGTCTCCAATCTCCACAAGCTTTTCCTCGAACACAAACCCCAATTTCCATTCATTGTAGTCCTCAGAATCCTCCGGCTCCTCGCAGTACGTTTTCGCATCACACTGAATTGCTCGGATCAGAGCATCAATTCTACTGTACGGTTTCGCATTCGAGTTCAAATGTTGCTTATAAACATCATCGCTCCGGTCATTTCTACCGCTGTTTTCTGAGAATTCGTTATCGGAATCTTCAGGAGCGAGGATCGAGTCCTTACCCTGTACAATGATCTCCGCTACGCTGGAGCCAATGTCGTCGATGGCTTGGCCGACGGTTTCAAGCGATTCCTGAGCAGCGGTGGCGCCCGATTCGATGTGAGCTGGCAAGTCCTGGACGGCGCGGCTGGCGGCTTCGCGGATTATAGCAGTCTCCTTCTGCAGACCGGAGCTGAACTCCTCCAGATCCCGACGGTAGTTCTGGATTACAGATTCCGACTTCGACGCTAGGGTTTTCAACAGACCCGACCCGAAGCCCCACGCGTTCACAATGGCTGGGATGTTCGGATTACCGTCCGGAGCTCCAGGTGGAGATTCCGGCTGCGCTTGAACATCCAAATTTGAAGAAGAAATCTCGGTATCTTCAGTATCGGAGTAATCCTGCTCCTCGGTGAATACTGATTTGAAGAAGTCCATTGAGAACAAATAGAAATACAAATGGCTTTGATGTTCTCCCGAATCAAAATATATTACACAGTTGCCTCCATGCCCGGCCACAAAACGAAGATACAAGGTGGGATTTCGGTGTCGGCGAGATGATCAAATTTCCGGCGATTCCAACTGTCTTATCCTTTCATCGTCCACGGCTTCGAATGATTCCAAACCCAAACAGAGCGTAAGAGCAGACTAAGAACCCAATCCAAACTGTGCCAGGCCCATTTTCATTTGGGCCCAAATTGAGCCCATAAAGCAATGAATCTAATCCATATCGAGTCCATAATAAAGACAAATTATTGAAATGGTCCATTGATAGTGATTTTACCATTTTGGATTGCACTTTCAAATTCATCAAATAATATTTTTAATTATAAAAGTTGTATATATTTTTTCTCAAAAAAGTTGTATATATTTTTGTATTATTTTCGTACAATTTTTTAATATATCTATTTTAGTTTTTTCTTAATGACTAAAAATAGGTACAAAATTGATACTTAAAAAATATTATTGGACAAAATTAGAAGTTGAGAACTAAAGTGATGAAATAACTATAATCAAAGGACCAATTCAATAGAAGTGGTCGTGGTTCAATTCACGATTCAAAATCGATGGTTCGAGATTCATCATTGACGAGAACCTTAACCTAAATAGTTATTAATAGTTCATGAATCGGCAATTTTGGTTCATGAACCATCAGTTGCCCCGATTTTTTATTTTTTATTTTGTTGGTATTTTAACTTTTTTCAATATAAGTTTTTATCTAAATTTTTACTTTAAATAAAAGAAAGTATTGAAAATTATTAAAAAGAATAAGAAGAAGGGCTTGCACTTAATTTTACTAAGACTTAAGTGAAATTTTGAAGTATTAAAGTCTCAATTTTTATTTCTACACACAAAATCATTATGTAGACATTTGTATTGGAACCTACATAAAAAAATAACTTATCAATATTTGTTACATCAGAAAATAAAATTTAGGGAGTCTATATAGTAGAACGGTTTAAAAAAACCTTGGTAGATTACTTATTCCATATTATGGAGTACATTGTACATTGGTGTTGTACGAATAAAGTCTTCATGGTACAACTGTACCTATGCAGTGGTCATAAACTCATAATATAGGTGCATAAAAAGGTTAACTTATCACTGTAAAATGTTCTTATTTACCATGAAAATGCCATGATTGTGTCCATTTGCAAACTCAACAAAGCTTCATCTTCTCTTCTCTCAAGACCAAAAGACCTTGATCATTCGTATTGTTGTGGTAATTACTCCCCACTTTTCAATTAAGGATAATAATAACAAGTATTCTTAAACATAGTAAATTAATTGAGTTGATTGATAATCACAAAGTTTTAAATAGAAATGTCTATTAGTCTTTATGAGACTTGAACTGGTCAAGTTATTGTAAACCTAAGCCAGTTTATGTCATTGTGGGCTTGAACTTGCAGCTACTATCCGTTCTTGTGTAATAGCAAGATATTTAGAGATGTCTAAATGTGTCTTTTCAGTAGAGAATAAAGAAAATTTGCAGACATTATTTGTTCATGCATAATTGCAAGAGATAAGCTATATTAAGAAGACCTTATGCGACAAGTTTTTATATGAGAATTATGTTCCATACACTTAATCATAAAGGGTTATCATCATTTTTTTTGGGTAAAAAAAAAAAAAAGAAAGAAAAAAGAATTGAACAGTGTTTGGTCCATATATGCATGTCTCTAAAGTGATTAATCTTTCTGATTCATAACATTAGAAAAAAAAAAAAAAAAAAAAAAAAGGTTAGTACAGGTGACAACTGACAAGCATATCACCTCGGACTCACAAATGTGATTCAATTAAGAGGAGAGTAATTATAGACTTAGCTCCAAATCAGAATCTAATCCACTGCATGCATTCAACACACTTATTGCAATAACCATGTTTAGGAGTTCCAAGATGTCGGCTATTTCATTAACCACTCTTTTTCTAATGTCCCAAAAATTAATAATCACCTTAAATAGATTGAGTAAGTGAAACATGATTATGACACCAAAAATTTACGAGTTTAATTTTCGTTAATATCCTCTTGATTGAATTCATCACATAAGATTTTAATTTTCTAGTATTGTTTACATCTCATGTGTGATTTGTAAACTATTACGCAAGATCAGGGTTTACTATATATACAGAGTACATAAATTCAGGTAGTGGCTATGAGAAGATTCTCTCTTCATCCAAACCAAAAAAAAAAAAGTTTTTTAGTGGGTAAAATTATTACTTTATGTGTAAATTTTAGATTTATTTTGGACAATATAATCTTTTGCAAATATTATTGTTGATATTTCCCAATTTAGAGTTATTTAGGGCAATATAGAATTCTACAAATATTTTATATATGAGTTTGGAACAAAGGGAACATGATGGCCTCCATGTTTACAAATCCATGCCTCCACATATTCAATTCCTTGATATCATCAAATAAAATCTCTTGAAACTCACCCCTCCAACTCATATCCTCCCATCCATCAATAAATTGGGGAACTACAAATCTTTCTTACTTAGCTTGTAGTTATTTTATGAGGCTTATGTTATTTAAATAATAATAATTATTGATTTCTTTACTATGTGGATGATATATCAAATATAATTGAATAAAACATATTTAATTGTTTCTATTGGCATTAGTATGGATAGTATATGATTCAACTAAGTATATATGATGTATCTGGTTGTACGAGTACTATCGACATCATTATAATTACAATGTGACACACAATTTTGTTAAAAATACTTTTATATGAAGTATTTTTAATTTTATATTTAATGTCACAATTTCCTTTTATCAAGAGTATATTAATTATCATTTACCGGTTAGGATCGATAACAATGCGCGTAAATACCTAGTGCACATTCTCGGATAGTGGCTGCAGATTTCACCTCGTTATCAAAAAAAAAAAGTATGGCAATTGATCTTGAACGTTTTAATGATTATTGTGTATTTAGTATCGAGCAAAATACTATTATGTATAATATTATTGTGTCAAAATTTAAAAATATATCACACTACAAAATATATACTCAACTTAATCTCGATGATACTTGAACGCCAAATCTTTGACCATGAATAATTTTTTTCAACTTATTAACTATTATTCTAAGTGATCATTCTACGACAACATAAAAAAAAAATACTACAAGAGAACAGCAAAATAACTATTAATTTAGTAACAAATTAAATAATTACTTGTCAGAAATTAAAATACTTATGAATTTAAGTGTTTTACATATAGAAATTTGCCGATAATTTGAATATTTATAGATTTTGGTAATTTACTTACAAATTGTTTGTAAATAAATTTGATTTTTTTGTTACTGAAGCTGGATATCCGAATTAATTATTATTAGAAGATGTGAGAAAACAAAAGAAAAGAAAAGGTGGGAGAGAATGATTTAGGGCTTAAGGTCTGCATCCACTTCGATAGATTTTCTTGTTGTAGGGCTCGAGGAATATACAGTACCACTTATGAGTATTGATATGATGCCAGAGCTATATATATATATATATATATATATATATATATAGACTTGCGTTCAAATGAAGACAAGTATATTATAGAGAACTGTGAAAAACAGATATAGTGTGTGTCATTTGTTTGTATGTCGTGTGCATTGCCGAATGTAGTCGTGTGCCACAGTTTGTATGTTGCGTGCATACATTTGTTAATTAATAGAGCCTGGGTTCGAAACCTGATGTTTACATGTATTCTTGTGTGCCATTATGTATTAAATTGTGTGCATGATAGTAATTTGTTGTGTGCCCATTATTTGTCCTCACAGTCCTCTATATATTGTTGTCCTCATTTGAACTCAACCCTATATATATATATATATATATATATATATATATATATATACTCCCTCCGTCCCGAATTGGATGTCTCATTTACTTTTTGCACGTTTTTTAATGAATTAAAGTAAATGTTATGCACTTTCCAATTATGCCCCTCACTTTTTCACTTTTGGAAATAAAAACAATAAAGAAAGCAAAAGCTAGAAGGGTAATTTGAAAAAAAGTGGAATGATAGTGATGTTCAATTTTGGAAAGTGGACAACATTTTGGGACAAACTAAAAAGGAAAGTAAGACACATAAAATGGGACAGAGGAAGTATATATATATATATATATATATATATATATATATATATATATATATATATATATATATATATATATTCAAATGAGAACAACCCCCTCTCATAAAGAAAGAAAAAAAAATTGATTTAAGTTGTCTATCACGATCCATCAATAATTGACGATTTTAGTAAAAAACATAAAAATAAACAAAAATAAAAGACACTTTTATAATTATTTTAAACTTTCAAATTTACAATATTTATTAAACTAATAACGTTCATTTTCCATTATATTTTAGTAACCTTAAACATGCATATGTTGGTCTCGATCTTGAATGTGAATTTTAAGTCCATGTTGAGAATGATGTTTTTGTTTGTGGGGGCAAGCAGGAACAAGAGCAGAAAGTGTGTGTGTGTATATATATATATATATATATATATATATATATATATATATATATATATTGAAGCTTCAAACCCTAAGAGTTTGGATTTTGGTCCCAATGATATGTAGCATAGCATGCATTTTTTGAGATTAACAAGCAATAAATATAGGGTTATGTGGCTTAATTATTAATTATTTCAATTATATTGCTCCTATCCACCTATTCCTTTTTTGCCTTAGCTTGCCCCCACATTTGTCCTCAACATCAATAATATATCCAAGGTTTTCGTCATGCCCCTAGATGAAATGATGTCAAGCAAAGCATTATTGAGTCATATGGGATGTCACATTCATTTAGTTACATTGTATAACAGCTTGAATCAAATACCACCTTAATTCAATAATATAGATCTCAAGTGATGCAAATGTTGATTTTTATTGACCATGTATATTGTAAACAAAATAGAGCTAACTACAGCAACCTTTCAACATGCATCCTAGGTTATTACGACTTTTGAATCAACTTTCACTGAATCTTAAATAGATTAAATTCTTATTGAGGATTGCTTCGGTATTTCTGGATATGATTGATGAGGATTTTGGTCATGGAGTAATTTTGTTACTCGTGTGGTTGGGGTTTCCCCTTCCTCTTTTTTAAAGTTCTATTTTTTTT